GAATATTTAAAATAACCAAATAATTTTCCCATTCTCAGTTGTGGGATACAAAAAAAAAATCCGCCATAATGAATGGCCACGGAATGAAAAACCCAGCCATTGACCAAAAAATTGATTATAAACCTCAGAAAAAATTATCAAGGAAATTTGTCAGTGTTAACATTAAGACAGGTCAAGACGAGGAAAAAGAAGATTGTGGTTTTGGTATTGTTTCCAGCGAGAGGCAGGCAGGCAGGCCGGCAGGAAGCTCGAACATTAACCACATTTTTATTCCCAAAGCAAATATGAAACAACAACAACACATTCCTCAGTTAAAAGCTTTACATTTTCCTCGTCTCGCAAACCAAATGCAGCCAAGACAAAGGAGTGTCGTTTAACTTAGTTGCATTAAGCTGGAAAAACTATAGCATTACAATCAAATTGTTGTTGTTGTTGCTATGTTCCGTTTATGGTTCGCCAGTCAAAGCTTCACTCAACCAACATTGTAATCATGCAAAAACAAAAAATGGTAGCAGCCTTAAAAGTGTGCCGGCAAAAACTAAAAACGGCCAGAGTTAAAAACCCCAAATGAAATTCAAACCCCCCATTTAAAATGAACGCTGCCCGAACGAAAACTTGAATTAAAACAACATTCACCGTTTCAGAAAACATCAAATTAAATTTAGAGTAGTTTTCTGAAAAAAAAAAAATGGTTAGTTCCACAACGAAACACAATGTTGGAAAATGACGATAAATGTTAGTCACTTTTTGGTGGTGAGACTGCAGCAAAATGAAGTAATTTTCAAAAGTTCACAGGTGGCGATATTAGAATATTTATAAAATCGGGCATTTCTAGAGTACTTTGAGAATACAGAAGTTAAATTTCCAAAAAAAAAAAAAAAGAAGAAGTGGCCGATAAATTCATAGTTTTCCGGCTGGAAAATTGTTGGAATAAAAATATGTGAAAAGATTATTGATTTGCTTCGCACGTACTCGGATGCTCATTTCGTGTTATGTAGCCGTAATGTTTACTTAAAAATTTGACGCTTTGTGGGGGAGGTACCACCGGGAGTGGGGATATCTGCCATATTCACAATAGGTCTCGTGTTAATAAAAATATTGGAATTGTGTGAACTTTGAAAGGAATCAGTTGCTTATTTTGAATTTTTTTAGAAATATAGCTATTCAATTTGGATAAATTTTGTGGGACAGGTATTCGAAGGAGTGGATATATCCATTCCATCTTCACACCAGATCTTGTGTTATCAAAACTGTTTGGATGTGTGCAATTTGAAAAGAATTTAATGCTTGCTTCACATTTTATGGGCATTTTTCTTATTTAAAAATTTGACCCCTTTGTAGGGAGGTACAAGAAGGATTAGATATATACAGCTTGAGATGAAAAAACTGCAAAAAAGTCAAACGCCATAATTTTTAAATTTTTTTGGTTTTTTGTTTGGGTTATTCTCCCCATTTTATGGGCATTTTTGTTATTTAAAAATTTGACCCTTTTGTAGGGAGTTACAAGAAGGATTAGATACATACAGGGTGAGATAAAAAACTGCAACAAAGTCAAACGCCATAATTTTAACATTTTTTTTTTGTTTTTTTTTTTTTGGTTTTTTGTCTGGGAAATTCTCCCCAGAAGTTATTTTTTTAAAAATAACTTCTATGACTAGAAACATGTTTTACCCAAGTGACGAGATCGTAAGCTCAATAGAAGGGGAACCAAAGAATTAAATAGAACTAAAATTCTATTGGAAAATCTTCTGAATCTTACAACCGCACTTATAAACATTTACATCTTTCGCACTTATTAGTGGAGAACGATGGTAATTTTTACCAGGGGGTAAGACAGGGGAATACCTAGGTTTCGGAAAGAGCCACCAATCCTCGTCAGTTCCCTTGTTTTTTGTCTGGGATATTCTCCCCAGAAAGCATAACCCCAGACAAAAAACAAGGGAACTTATGAGGATTGCTGGCTCTTTTCGAAACCTAGGTATTCCTCTGCCTTACCCCCTGGTAAAAATTACCATCGTTCTCCACTAAAAAAAACTTGTTTTTATAAAAACAACATTAAAGCGATTAAGCCTGACTATTTTGAAACAACAAAATACCATGATATCCCGAACAAACAAGCCAACACTGTTCCATTTTTTTATATTTTATTGAATGAAAGCAAAAAAATGTCGGAAATAGCCTCAAATTTTAGAATAAGTTTAGATTTGTTCTAATTGGTCACGCATGCTACGAATTATGGCCTTCAAACTTCAAAAAAAAAAACGTCACACGCTGCCGAATTTCGCTAAGCCGTATTTTGACCCATTCCCGGCAAAGCGCTTGCTTGAGGTGATCGACACTTTGGTATTTCTTAGTGCCAACCTTGCTCTCCCGAATTACTCCAGACCCAATAGTCCAACGGATTGGTATCTGGAGATTTTGGTGACCATTGTGCGCTGGAAATGAAGCGAGGAACCTCATTTTGTAACCATTCTAGGGTGGCGCGTGCTGAGTGCGATGTTGTTGGAATGTCCAAGGTCTATGGCAAAAATGTTTGCGTGCCCCCAAGGCTTTAATACACCATCCAGAATATTTTCACGATAATATTCGGCATTTATTCTGATGTCACGGTCGATTATTTTTTAGTGCCAACCTTACTTTCCAAAATACTCCAGACACAATAGTCCAACGGATTGGAATCCGGAGATTTTGATGGCCATTGTGCGCCGAAAATGAAGCGAGGAACCTCATTTTGTAACAATTCTTGTGTGGCGGTGCTGAGTCCTGTTGGAATGTCCAAGGTCTGCGGCCAAAATGTTTGTGTGCCCTCAAGGCTTTATTATAGCCCCCAGAATATTTTCGCGATAATATTTGGCTTTTTTTCTGATGCCACGGTCGAGTGATACGAGCGGAGAGTGACGATCAGCTGTTATGGCGGCCCACACCATCACCATGGACGGCGCTTGAAATTGTCCCGCCAAAATGTTTACAGCCTCCAGAATACTTTTGCAATAATATTCGGCAATTATTCTGATGCCACAGTCGATTAATACGAGCGGAGAGCGACCATCGGCTGTTATGGCGGTGCACACCATTACCATGGCCGACTTGAGGCTTGAGTTCTGGTGGCCAACCGAAGGTGCACATTTTCAGCCTTTTCAGACCTCTTTGGCAAGTAAACACGAGCGGATCATTTTGTTTGTTTACAAACTGCTGGACAACGAATGTTTTTCCTTCGGAGAAAACGAAAACCAACTTCGGCAGTTCCGCTGCCACTTTCGATCAAGCGAAGCAACTCTTTAGCTCTTATGAGTCTATTTTCTTTCTGTTGCGGTATATGTTTTTACACTTTTTGGAATTGTAATGGCCTTACCCCGAGCTCATTTTTCAATATTTGTCGAATGGAATATTGCGATATGTTCAGCTCACGAGCTATTTTTCGGCCACTACGACGCGAACCATTTCTGCTGATGTTGCTGTTTTCTTCCGTCCACTTCCTTGACATATGGCGGGTTACGCTACTAGTATCACGTAACCGGTAACGTGCGATGATACCAGACACAACAGATTTATTCACATTTAAATGCTGGAGTGCTCTAACGATAGCCACTCGTGGTTTTCCAGCCAAATATAAAGGAATCACACTATCACGCTTGAATTCCATCACGAATAACATTTTTTCTGGAAAATTCTCACGCAAATGCTGTTGTACGCTTGTAAACAATATTATGAGCTGTCACTGGAATAATTTTAACAGCTGTCGGACGAGTAGCTTAGAAATGACAGCAGTCTGAAGTTGGTTGCAGTTTTTTCATCTCACCCTATATATATTCTATATAGGAATGGATTTCTATATGTATTTAATAGGTCAATTCTCTTCAACAGGGTTTCCTTCAACAGGGTTTCCTATATTTGTCTTCTTCCTACAGCCAAAGTTTTAGAGAGGTTCCATGAAAAAAGTCCCTCCCAAGGCCGTCTAAAGAGAGAATATCGCTTCTGACCTATAAGCGATATTCTTTCTTCAGACGACCTGGTACTGAAGCTTTCATAGGTATTCATTCATAAACAAAGATGAAGAACTTCTATAACTCTTCTACAGATAGAAGATTGGAGATCTTTTCTATGTCGTCGCTCAATATTAGACCTTCGTCTATTAGGCGTTCTATGGATATGAGATCTGTTATAGATAAAAATTTTCTGTCATCCATGTTGTTTTAATTTTCGGTATAGTCCCAATATAAGGGTAAACACCACTTTTAAGTACTTTTTAGGATTAAGTCATATTTTCCATATAACTTCGATATTTTGGGTTCTTATTGCGTAGAAACTATTAATATAGGTCCAAGCTTTTGTACAGTTCTCAGGTATCCCTGATTTGAATTATTGCGAGGCTCTTGGGCCATATTTTCTAATCGATTTTAACTTCAAAAGTTGATTGTCAAAAGTTCTGGCTTATCAGACAAGCAAATTCTATGTCGTACTTCGAAATCAGAAATCGAAGGGGAAAAAATTGGGTAGCTGAAATTCGCTGAAATCTCAGAGAGTTGGATATGTTTACTTCCTTCTGATTAAAATTATTGCGAGTCTCTTGGGCCATATTTTCCAATCGATTTTAACTTCAAAAGTTGATTGTCAAAAGTTCTGGCTTATCAGACAAGCAATTTCTATGTCGTACTTCGAAATCGGAAAACGAAGGGGGAAAAATGGGTAGCTGAAATGCGCTGAAATCTCAGAGAGTTGGATATGTTTACTTCCTCTAAGAGAAAACTTCAATCGATTCCACAAAACTTTCTATAGTCGTTTGAAGATGCCTTGGTATTGAATCCTTTTAGAGGAACAGTTTTCCTGTCTATTTTTCGGGCAATTCGCCTCAAATGTTGATTCTAAAAGAATTCCATGGGTATAGCTTTATATCCTGACTTTTAAATTCCTATAGCATAATTGCTTTATTTATGCGGGATATGCATCATTGGACTGAAAATATAATTTTCCGATTCCTCACCATCACTCTTCCCGGAACATCAATTTACTGAATTTTTATTAAATAATTGTATTTGAATGTCCACAAAAATATATAAAATATAAGCAATTCGAAAATATTTCCACATTCAAATATTCTCACATAATTTTCCTCTCTCACTTTATGGCCTCTCTACCCTAACGACAACCTTTAAAAACATTTCAATATCATTACGGGCATAGGCCTCAATTTTATACAACCCATATTCCAAGAGATTGGGGAAACCATCCACGGGGACATCACAATTATTCACATCGATACGCATTGCACTGAACGGAGCCACAAACTCATCATCGCCCTCGAATTGCGGAGCATCGGGAGCACATTCCTTGATCGAAGGCATAATGTAGGCCTTGTAGTGGAAATTAATGAAATTCGTTAGAACTTCATTGTCTATCACGAATGGTGTCAACTGATAGTCCTGTTCACGTTCTGTGGAACTACGATAGACCCTTACATCGACCACTGTCGTATCGTCTAATTCCGTTTTGAAATCCAGAAACCCGCTGAAGGCATACAGGCCGCGACCAATGCGTTTTTCCTTCACTGCAATGTCGGCCACATCGGGATCGGTGGTGGTTGCCTCTATGCTAATCAATTCATAGGTCCAGTTTTTCTGCAAGGACAGCCGTTTAACTTGCTTTCTTTATTTTAAAGAAGTTCCCTCTCCACTTACCTCCTCGCCATAGGTTACTGCGGCCCAGAATAGAGTTAAAATTATTGCTGCCTTGGTGAAAAACATTTTTTGGTTGTTGTTGAATCCGTACTCTACGCTGTGGGTGCGAGTGCTACAACTATTAATAAGAGCTTTACTGTGAGGCTTACCAGTGAGGCTAACGGTTATCTGCCAATGTCATTTGGTTAACAACTTGTTGTAAACATTCTTATCCGGCAATCACTTGTTTGTCAGTTTTATTTGTTTAATTAGTTGCAGCTTGTAACCTAGGCATTGACATGTATTGCCATGACGATGGCGTGTTCAATTGAAATAAATAAATTTTCTTGTAATTATGGAACAAATATGTAGAGCACGCTCTGCGGAGCTAGGGTTACAAGATGTTTTCCAACTAAGTAATACAGTTCATGTATAATATATAAAACCTATTTTAGCATCTGACACCAAAAACCCATAGATGATACTTTTTATGGATACATCCTAGAAAAATGTATTTGAAAATTATTCTAAGAGAAGAGCTTTAGATCCTAAAAAGACCTCGAAAGGATCTTCTAGGGACTTTTCCTGAGCAAAAGACCTCTAGTACGAAATCGCCATCCTGTTCGCGTATCTTATCGTTAGTACCTAAATTGCATATTTTTTTTTTTTTGCTTGTAGGGTAGGTACCACAAAGTGTGGGACCATAGCTTCCTTATTCACATCAGATCCCTGGTAGAGAAAGATATTTAGGTTAGGTTAAAGGACGTGCGGTTACCATATGGCAACCGCTCCACTCGTCCTAAAAAGAATGTTAAGAAAAGAGGAAAAAGTGATTGGTAGAAGAGGTGAAGATAAAAGGTAAAGTTGTAGAATGTGATCTACGGCTGAGGAGTTTGCCGTGTCGTCTTTAGCCACTTGAATCTTCTGGCTAATTGAAGGATTACTATAGGGTCAGTGTTAGAAAAAGAAGACAGGTCATGTGACACTAGTTCTCTCACTAGCCTGTGTCTCACATTAATGAGTGCTGGGCAGTGGCAGAGCAAGTGTTCGACTGTCTCGATTTCTTCTTCATCTTGACAGATCCTACAGTAGTCAGTGTCGTCGCTGTCCCATTTCTAGGTCATAGACCTCACCTTACAGTGACCTGTGATGATACCCACCACAAGTTTTAAATCAGGTTTTGACAATGACATCAGCGACCTTGTTCTCTTCTCTGAGAGTGTGGGCCACATTCTTTTGGGGATGGTGCATCCCATTTCGTCCAGCCATTTTTTGTTGGATTTCTTAGAATATTGTCTGTGAATAACCTGTAGGAAATGGCACAGTGGTGGTGTAACCGAGTTGTCTACTTCGGATCAGATCCTAGTCTGGCCAATTCGTCTGCAGTCTCGTTACCTGGGATGTTATAATGTCCAGGAACCCAACAGAGCTTGATGGATAACCCAGATATTTAGATATACCAAGTTTGAAAAAAATCGCTGACTTTTTTCGCTAGCTATGAGATGTGTAAAAGTGCTGACAATTGTGACCCTCGGGGGGCTTATTTTGCATTTTCTGAGAATTATAATTATTCAAAATGTGGATAGAAAACTTATTTGCGGATTCGCTGTAAATAGCTCTTTTAACCAGAATTTTTTTATGGATGGAATAAATTCAACAGGTTTTTTTTATGAATAGAATCCTGCGAAAGGTCCGGTATGAATAGAATAGCTTATTGTAGAGGTGCTTTGGCAGGCATTCTATGGCTATGGATAGAAATCTTAGTGCAGGTTTACTTTGGATAAAAAAAAAACATTAAACAGATCATCTCTGGTAAGAATACTTGTAAAGCTCTTCTATGGATAACAGATCACCTAAGGTCTTAGGTCTTTAGTCCTTTTAAATGTCTTCTATAAAAAGATGGCCTATATGTATCCTTGAGATGGGAGATATTTCAGCCTTTTTCTAGGTCTTCTGAGGATTAAGGGCCAATTCTTAATGGTACTGAGAATCTTTTTCAGAACTTCTGGGGATTTAATTTGAGAATCTTTTATTGATAATTGGTTTTCAGATCTTCTAGAACCCTTATCACAGGACTTTAAAGAAAAGACAAAACCTTCTCCAAAACTCTATGGATAGAAGCCTTTGTGTAGGTCTTCTTTGAAGAAGACCTTGTAAAGGTCATCTCTGGACCTTGTAAAGCCTTCTATGGATAGAATATCTTCTAAGGTCTTCAAAGGATTTATATCAAATATTTTAGTTCTTTCTTAGGTCTTCTATGAAAATATGGTTTTTTATAGACATTTTTGAAACGGAACATATTTCATACCTTTCCAAGGTCTTCTAGGGATTGAAGACCTCTTCAGGGTTTTTAAAGAAATGAAAATCTTTTTCAAGTATTTTAAGGACTGAAAACAAGTTTCGGCTCGTCTTTTGATGGAAGACCGTTTGGCACTTACGACCGAATTGAGTCTAAAAGCTAGAATGTCAAATTTGGTGAAGATCGGTTCAGATATAGCTAAAGCTCCCATATATACGTTTCATCCGATTTGTCATATTTTTTATCCACAGCCGTAATATGCACTCCGTAACAACGATATTCAGGGAAATATATCAGAAATATCTTTGCCAAATTTTATTGAGATCGGTTCCGATTTGGATATGGCTCCTATATATATTTTTATCCGATTTCAAATTAATTGTGCACCAAATGGGCAATACAAGTCCGAATTTAAAAGATACAAATAGTTCGGCATATTTAGTCCTTTGAACTTTAGATTATAATTATAATCATAGCGTGTATGATTGAATTCTCCCTTAAAAACTTTTAATTGTGATGCGCAGCTGTACTAAATTAGCAAAGTGGTGTAGGGTATCATAAAGTCGGCCCCGCCCGACTTTAAGACTTTCTTTACTGTTAGACTCCTTATCCACATCAGATCCCTGGTAAAGAAAGATATTTAGGTACACAAAGTTTGAAAAGAATCGCTGACTTTTTTCGCCCGTTATGAGATGTATAAAAGTGCTGACAATTTTGACCCTCGGGGGCTTATTTTGCATTTTCTGAGAATTATAATTATTCAAAATTTTATTAACCAAAATTTATTTAACCAAAACTTTTTTATATGGATAGAATAAATTCAGCAGGTTTTTATGAATAGAATAATGTAGCAGGTCCGGTATAAATAGAAAAGCTTATTATATAGCCCCTTTTGCAGGCATTCTTAGGCTATGGGGACTTTCAATTGTCTTAAATTAACAAAAGAGGGTTTCAGGTCCACTATGGACATAAATCTTTGTGTCGGTTTATTTTCAATAATTTTTAGAGGTCATCTCTGGTAAGATTACTTGTAAAGTTCTTCTATGGATAACAGATCTCCTAAGGTCTTAGGTCTTAAGTCCTTTTAAATGTCTTCTATAAAAAGATGACTTATATGTATCCTTGAGAGGGTAGATATTTCAGATATTATCTAGATCTTCTGAGTATTAAGGGCCAATTCTTAATGGTACTGAAAATCTTTTCCAGAACTTCTAGGAATTTAATTTGAGGATCCTAAATTGATAATTGGTTTTCAGATCTTCTAGTACACTTTTCAAAGGACTTTAAAGAAAAGAACCTTTTCCAAAACTCTATGCATCGAAGACTTTGTGTAGGTCTTCTTTGAAGAAGAAGGTCATCTCAGGACCTTGTAAAGCCTTCAATGGGTAGAAGATCTTTTAAGGTCTTCAAAGGGTCTTCAATGTATATCAAATATTTTAGTTCTTTCTTAGGTCTTCTATGAAAGTATGGTTTTTTATAGACATTTTTGGAAACGGAAGATATTTCATACCTTTCCAAGGTCTTCTAGGGATTGAAGACCTCTTAAGGTTTTTTAAAGAAAAGGAAATCTTTTTCAAGTCTTTTAAGGACTGAAAAAATGTTTCGGATCGTCTTTCGACAGAAGACATTTTTTTAAGGCTAAAAGACTTTTTCTAAATCTTCTAGGAACAAAAATTATAGATCTCCTATAGATAGAAAGCCTTTCCCAGGTCTTCTATGGACAACAGACATTTTGAAGACCGCTTACTGTCGCTCTAGAATTTGAAGCCCTTGCGCAGGTGTTCTGAAGATAGAAGATCTTTCATAGGGTTTCTAAGGAATAATGTCATCAAAGGTCTTCGATTGATAGCTGATATTTGATAGGAACGGAAGATATGTTGGACCCTTTCCAGGTCTTATATGGATAGAAGACCTTGTAGACGTCATATATGAATTCTAGAGATTGAAAAGATTTTTATAATTACAAGGCCTTTTTTATGTCTTCTAGGAACGAAAGACCTTTAATGGATCTTTTATGGTTAGAAAGCCTTTCCCAGGTCTTTATGCAGATCTTCTGTGGAGGGAATATTGTTTAGACCTCTTCCAGTCTTCTAGAGTTTGACAACCTTATTTTCTAAGGAAAACAAATACCATCAGAAGTCTTCTATTAATAGCAGACAATATATAGGTCTTCTGAGTCAGAAGATGTTTTGGACCCTTGTCAGTTCTTATATATGAATTCTTATGACGTCATATATGAATTCGGGTCTTCTAGGAATTGAAAACATTTTCGAGTCTTCTTTTGATGGAAGATTTTTTTTAAATACCTTTCCTAGGTCTTCTAGAAATAGAAGACCTTTAATAGTTCTCCTATGGTTAGAAAGCCTTTAAAAGTTCATTATGATCATCTGCGGCCTGAAAATTGTTTAGACCTCTTCCAGTTCTTCTAGAGGTTTAGGACCTTGTGCTAGTCTTTTAAGGATAGAAGATCTTTCGCATGTTTCCAAGGAAAAAAAGTCATTGAAAGTTTTCTTTTGATAGCTGACATTTTTATAGGTCTTCGGACGGAAAATATTTTGAACCACTCCCAAGTCTAATGAGAATAGGAGGCCCCCCAGACGTCATATATGAATTCCAGGTCCTCTAGGGATTGAAAACATTTTTCGCTTAAAATACCTTAACCGTAGAAAGTCTTCTATCAAAAGAAGACCCAAAACATATTTTCAATCCCTTGAGGACCTGGAATTCATATATGACATCTGTGACATTCCAGGTCTTCTAGGAACGAAAGACATTTAATGGGTCTCCTATGGATAGAAAGTCTTTGCCCAGGTGTTTTATGGATAACTGACATTTTGTAGATCTTGTAGGGACGGAAGATAAGACTTGTACCTTTTTCAG